GATTATCCAAGGGAGTATGATGATCATCTCAATCCCTTGTAGTGATATAGAAATTCCCCCCAATAAGAGACAAGACTCCAGACTGAGGGTGAAGTAGAACTGAAAGTTTAATGGTACAGGTTGGCTTTATATACAATTCCTCAGGCCAGAGGCACACCGCCTGGACCTGATGGAGCACCACATGTACAGACCAATAAAAACAATGAATGACACTCCCACATACAGTAAACAATCCCTCCCCTCTGCCTGTGCTATAATTAAGGGAGCTAATGCATTAACTTAATTATCCCCAGGCAGAAAAAACACACATTTTTATAAAGTACCATAAGTACCCCAAACACAACATATCCCCATAAATGTTACTGGTAGCTCTGATCTGGGTGAACAACATATCCAAAAATCATCCAAATCAGATCAGGGGTTCAGGAATTTTATGGAAGTCATATGTTTGCCCAGGCGAACCCAGGATTTCATGCCCAAAACAGTTCCATAGATTTGCGACTAAGTGCCGCTGCAGGACCGACCGGGAACCACGAGGTTTTCATGTCGAAAATAGTTCCAGGGCATTCGTGGCTAAGTCCCCCTGAGGTCTATTTGCGGTTTTAGTCCATTCAAACAAGATGGCCTCCACCATGTGTTCGAATTGCGGCCACTTCGACTGTTTGGGAGTTCTAAGAACCATTGTCTAAAGTCCCAATAGCCACAAATAGGGTCTCTCAGCCAAAACAAATTAAAGGGGCCACATTCACAGGGCAAAAGGTTGGCAAGTAGTCCTCTCCAAAAACCAGTGGCGAGGTCACTTTCGCCACATGTGCCTACCAGAATTCTATGGTTTTACATATCAGGACATAATAGCAATCATCTGTTCTTTAGCAGGTCTTAAAATTAGGTAAATCCAACCTCACATGAACAACAACATTACATATTACACAGTGTCATGATCTATTTACAAAAATAGAGCCATAGTACATTAGGTAATCACTTTTTGCAGTGCTAGCACTCATTGATGAATCACAACATATGCTGGGGCAGGGTGGGGAGGGGAACCTGAGTCAGATGTGCTCTGAGTCGTTTAATGAATTACGCTATTGCTTAAAGTGTTCTGCAACCACTGGTGCTCTCAGTTCATACCAGTTACCCCCTCTCTGTTCGAGCTACTTCTGCATTAGCCATAATAGAAGTAGTGTGATGGAAACCTGTGGACACTCTATCTGTGCTAATCCATTCAAGAATTGTTTAAAACTGGAATGTAAGATGGTACCAGGGACTACAGGCACCATAACCACCTGAGATCAAATGGTTACGATGCTGCTTCTACTTACCTGAACAAAAATACCATCTGGTCGATAATGTTGCGTTACCAGATACCCTGTCTATGAATAGCCTTGCACTAGTGGTGCCTTCATTTCCTCATTTAATTTAATAGCTGTTAATAACCAGCCCTTTTCTGCTGAGTCTCTAAACTTCAATCTAAATCAACATTTTCTCTTTTGTTTTGCTATCATTTAACTTTGAACCTTGAATCATATCAAGGGCCGTTAGTCATCATGGTAACCTTCTTAATGTATTGTTGTGTACAACTGATTATAAATCTTTTCAACATATTTGATTAATCTTCATTTCTCCCTAACATTACCTCACTACCTGCCCTTTCTAGCCTCCTAATATGCGCAGTTTTTGGCTTATGTTTTAACAGATATATTTAACGCTGGTAACAACTGCAGTTGTCCATTTGACATCTAAAGAAAAACTGTTATTCAATTTCCAGATATTTGCTGTTTTATAATAGAAAAATTATATATATATATATATATATATATATATATATATATATAAAAACAGTCCTAAATCGGAAAAAAATGGCAGTCCTGCTTTGAATATTGAAAAAGCACATAAGGATAATGGGAGTAGGAGTCCAACAACAGAAAAAACTCAGAAAATGACTTGTCTAAAATCCTAACAGAGAGTCAATTTTAAACTATAATTGTTTTTGCTCACGTAACACTTTCATGCTGTACATAATGGTAATTACCCAGGCAAAATATTCTACTATCTGCTATAGTAGTAATAGTATTAAAATTATGGTGTGTTGCCAAGTTTGCAGCCAGAACATCTGTAAGCTGCCAATGGAACCTGCAAACAAGGTAGAACATTGTAAACCATTTGTCTCCCAATAATATTTTACAGCTGTGGGTTGCTCACTTAAAACCTGGGTAATTATTTTCAGTACTAACTCAATGGGTGCTATCGATGGTTCATTTTATATATATATATAATTGAAGTCACTGGCTGCATTGTCTAGGAAGAAAATATTGTTGAGGCAAGCATTGGTAGGTGTGTCAAACTGCTGGATATTTATATCAAATAAAACCCTATGCACTGGAAAGACAGTCTTAAATTGCTGAAGGCACCACAAGTGTAAGAACAAGCACTTGAAACAACAAGCTTTTGGGAGGAGTCCTAACAATCTTTTCTATGAACTGATCTTAGTACATACACATCGGTCGAGTCAAGCAGCAACAGCTGAAGTTTACTTGATTGGAACTGCTGATTCTTTGGACTAATAACTACTCTAAGCAATGGCTGAACACCTGACACCAGAGCAGATTGAGGAGTTTAAAGAAGCTTTCTCATTGTTTGACAAAGATGGTGATGGTGCAATTACAACAAAGGAGCTGGGCACCGTAATGAGGTCTCTCGGACAAAACCCCACAGAAGCAGAACTGCAAGCTACGATAAGTGAAATAGACTGTGATGGTAGTGGGACAATCGATTTCCCTGAATTCCTCACTCTGATGGCCCGTAAAATGAAAGATACAGATACTGAAGAGGAAATCAGAGAGGCATTCCGAGTGTTTGACAAGGAGGGAAATGGCTTTATAAGTGCAGCAGAACTCCGTCATGTGATGACAAACCTGGGAGAGAAATTAACAGATGAAGAGGTTGATGAGATGATTAGAGAAGCAGACACTGATGGAGACGGTCAAGTAAATTATGAAGAACTTGTACAGATGATGATCTCAAAGTGAAGTCCTTCATGTGTTTTCCAGAAAGATGTTAATCTGCCCATCTTTGATGTTAAGATATGCCAGTAAAAAATAGTATTCTAATTATATTTGCTTTTTGCTTCATTTTTTTCTAACACTCATTTATTGTTGTGTTTTTTAAATATTCTCTGATAAACGGTGCAAACTATTTTTTTACATTTACTAATGTCACAGTGTTCCACTGCCTCAGATCTGATACAACAAGATACTTCTCTTTGTTACCATTCTTGTGTAGAAAATAAATATTGGTATCATCAGCAATTCTTATATCCTATTGGATAAATACATGAAACTTGATTCATGTTAGAATGTGTATAATAATGAAGCATGAATTATATGAATATTGTCACGTCCTGTTCCGTTCTGTTCAGATGCCTGGCCTTGGCATCTGGTATCCAGTACTCTTTTTACAATTCTTGTTTAGTTTTTCTTGTTTTTTCTGGTTTTCTATTCTATGTCTGGTTTTCTTTTCTTTTTTTTTTCATGTTTAATATTTTACTTTTATTATTATAAAGACAAAACATGTTACATAACATTGGACATAAACACATAAAATATTATATTATTCAGGTTATATTAACATCCCTAACATGGATCTCTAAGTGTATAAATTAGTACAATGTTTAATTCTGATTCATATAGGGAGAAAACTATTTACTTTTCTATTCATATTATAATATAACACACAGAGAGACACCTAACAATATTTCCAGCGATGAGGATAGGGAACCAGGATAAATTTCTTATATCCTTTAAATTTGTTTAGACAATGATATATCTTTAAATTAATGTAAGTAGGGTTACTTCATACCTATTTTCCAAATTTATTTGATACAAGCTTTAGAGTTGCGGTATCATACCGAGCCATTCTTTCATCTTATTTGCTTCCTTAACTATACCTATCTCCATTTTTATCTGATAAATCACTTGTACTTTAACTTCCTCCCAGACTGGAACTTTAATAGATTTCCAGTTTCTGGCCACTAGTATTTTAGCTGCTAACAATATATGTATAATCAATGTGGCATATTGGCCAAAATTATTGGGCAGACTAGATGGGCCGAATGGTTCTTATCTGCCGTCACATTCTATGTTTCTATGTTTCTATGTTTCTATGTTTCTATGTTTCTGGATTATATATAGTTGCAACAAAAAAATATCTGGCTTTATATCAAACTTAATATTAGTCAGCGCTTTAATCTTTAATGCTATCATTATCCAATACAAATTAATTAATCCACACTCCCACCATATGTGCATCATTCCTGCTTTTTGAGCCCCACAGCACCAACATTTATCTGAAGCACCTATATACATTTTAGCTAACCGATTTGGTGTTAAATACCACCTATTCATAATTTTATACTGAAGTTCCACTAGGTTAAGGCAATGTACGTTCTTTGTGAGCAGATTTAATACCTTTTCCCATTCTTCATAACTTATGTTATTACAGAGATCCTTTTTCCATTTATTTATTACAAGACAGATAATGTTTTAATAGTATTTTGATTTTTTATTGTTTGTTCAAATATTAATTGTTTACAAGAATAGTCTTTGGGTAAGTGCTCTTTAAGATAACCCTTTACTCTCATATAAGTAAATATCTCTTTACTCTCCAGTCTATAAACCTCTACTAGACTATTAACATTTTTAATTTTACCATTCTCTACTATATTATTAATTATTTTAATCCCCAGTTTAATCCAGCTCTGTATGTTTAAATCTGTCATATTACTTTGCAGATATCTAAGATCATCTAAGATCATATGGAAGGGAAGGGAGGAGGATCTCTCCTCCTTTTTAAACCATATGAATGACAATACATGGGGGATCCAATTCACCTGTACTTGGAGTAAACAAGAAATAATCTTTTTAGATCTACATATATATATTGAAAACAATTTAATTAAAACGAAAAACCATTTCAAAACAGTGGAAGCAAACAGCTTTATAGGCAGAGATAGTTGTCATTTTTCCCCGTGGTTAGAAAATGCTCCTAAAGGACAATTCTTGAGGATAAGGAGGAATTGCACTGATATAGAAACATTTAATGCACAGTCTATTAAAATTAAATAGACTAGAAAAGGGGTATGAAGAATTTAAATTAGAAAAATCAAGATTAGAAATTAAAGAAAGAGAAAGAAAAGACCTTATAAAGTATAAGGAAAAACATAAAGATGAAATGGGTAAAATACCCTTTATATGCACTTACAGCTCTGAGAATCATAAAGTTAGAAAAATAGTGTCCAGATATTGGCCTATTCTACTCCAAGACCCAGCTCTAAAAACTTTTCTGCCAGACCAGCCACATTTTATACATAGGGGAATTAACAACTTAAAAGATTCCCTAACATCAAGTTATATAAAAGAAAAACCTAAAAACAATATTACATTTTTTAATTCAGAAAAGGGGTTTTATGGATGCGGACCATGTTTAGCTTGTAAAAGAACAAATAATAAAAAAAGACAAATCAAAAAGTTTGTAACTAATGAAGGTGTAGAATACCAAATCAAAGAATTTATTACATGCCACTCAAAAAATGTAATCTATCTCTTACGATGTCCCTGTGGTTTAAATTACATAGGAAAAACTACCAGACCTTTGCATATAAGAATAGAGGAACATGGCCGTAATATAAGTAAAGGATTCGAGAAACACAGTGTGTCTCTGCATTATAAAAACTATCATGACTGTGAATTAAAAGGAACTATGTTTTTAGGAATTAAGAAAGTAACTAAAGATTGGAGGGGAGGAGATTTTAATCAAAAATTAAGTAAGGTAGAGATGGAATGGATATTCAAACTAAATAGTCTGATTCCAAATGGTCTAAATGCAGACTTTGAAATGTGCCATTTCCTCCTCTAACTTTAAAATAAAGGCTTTAAAAATAAAGGCTTAATCTGTTTTACATTGTACCAAGATTTTATACTGAAAATAAAAATGGAAATAAAACAGTTTTTAGATAGATATATACTATATATACTATATATAAAATTATATTTTTTACAAAACCCCCGTTTTTATATTGATTTTATATCAATTTCAATATAGAATCATGGTAATTAAACCCATTTCTATCTTTCACTTTTTAAATTATAATTCCTTATAATTATATATACCTTTTATCTCTCATCTTTTAAGTTTTATCCCTCTGTAATGGCAAATGTATTATAATTGTGTTTTCTTACTAATGTAAAATTCTAAGAATTAGTCTGAATGAATTAACAATTGCAAAAGACATACAAAGTTAAACACCATACACAAATAACTCTTTGTATACAGGAAAATAGTAACTGTCCGTGCAAAATAGATTAATGTGAAAAGAATGTGCTAATTTAAAAGTGTAACAATTGTTTACATGTCCTTTGAATTTATTTTTAATGCCTATGACCGAGAGATATCAGACCGGATTGCAATAACCACAGTGGAACGCACTGTGGAACGCATGGCTATGAAAACTGCCGAAACCAGAAGTGACGTATCGGCCGAGAAAGAGGAAACAGGAAGAGATCAGAATGAGGCTTGGAACGCAGGGTATCTCCGTTACCATGGAGAATACCCGCGAAAATCCAAGCATAAACAGCTGTTTCTACAAATGAAGAAGGGTATTTAAAGCAGGAGAAGAGGTCCTGGAAAGTATTACAGAATTTAACCAGCTGAAGAAGCCACCTGGCGAAACGCGTTCTGGAAAGCGAAGTGAGCACTGAAAACTTCATTTTGGACTTTATTGGACTTTTTTTTAGCCTTATAAGTGTTTTATTTTCCTATATATATATATATTTTTATAATGTGTTACAATTTTTATAGTTAATAAATGATATATATTTTTTAATACACTTATGGCTTTTTTCCTGCTAATATAAAGGAGTGTGGTCCTTAAACCACATATGCGCATTGAAGTGAGCCTATAGACTGGCTCTGGGTTTGTGAGTACCTCATTTACTATTTTAAAATACTCATAATAATACCAACTATACTACACTATATACCCCCTCCTGTATCCATATAGGATTGGATCAAAGAAAGGAGAAGAAGGGAGAGGGTCGCCTATACGGATCCTAAAGCGCCTAATTCTGAGCTAGATTTATAGCTCAGAAAATTGTGAGTTGCCATTTGGCCCTTACTTTAAATCTTTTCTCACCAATTTACATACAATCTGCACTATGTTATGTATTTTTTCTGTTTCACCTTAAGGTTAACAAAGAATAATTGATTAACATAGAAGAAAAATTGGGTAAACTTTTTTCATATTCAATTCCGCACATAAGCGCTACACCGTTACTGCCTACTACTTTCTAAGACTAGTAATAAGTTTATCTTGTAAGTCCAAATCTTTCCTTAGTTTATTCCATATAGGTATAATATTATTTAGGATTAAACTATTAGAAGTGGATCTCTGACGGTATATATATTTATTATCTGTATTCCAAAAAAGGGAACATTAATCTTCATTTATATCGTCCTTAAGTAAACCCTGCTCAGCTTTATACCAGAATTGATCTTTTGCCGAATCTGATTGGGTAATTAATGCTTGAGCTATATTGCATGCTCTCCACGTTTGACATAACTGTGGAATTCCCAAGCCCCCTAATTTAGTTTTTAACATTGAATGATCACGACTTTATCTTGGGCATTTCCCGTCCCATATTAATCGATTAAAAATTCATTGTGCCAAGGAGAGCCAACTTTCTGGGCAATACAACGGCATCATGCGGAAGAGATAGACCCACTTTGGATATATATAAAATTTTATCATATTAATTCTCCCCCACCAAGATGCCTCTATTCCCTTCCATTTTTTAAAGGTTTTACGAGTATCTTTCAAAAGCTTCAAAATGTTTTGCTCCATCATTCTATTTGGCTCATTAGTAATCTCTATACCTAAACATTTCATAGAGTTCTTTTTACAATCAAATCCAAATTTATCAGATAAATTACGCTTGCTATTTAATGTAAGATTAAACGGGAGTACTGCTGACTTATTTAAATTTAGCTTATATCCTGAATATATAGAGAACTCTCTTATAATATCCATAACTTTTTCCATGGATGTCAGAGGGTCAGTCAACGTGAGTACCACATCGTCCGCGTACATTGTGAGCTTTAATGACTCTCCCTCTAACACTACTCCTTTTATAGATTCATTATCTCTAATTTTATGCGCTAGGGGTTCTAGGCTTATCAAATATAAGAGTGGGGACAATGGGCACCCCTGCCTTCTTCCGTTCATCAGCTAAAACCAGTCAGAGAAGAAGCCACTTCCTGCAACCCTGGCCATTGGGACTGTATATAAGGCCATAACAGCCCTCATAATATTGCCATGAATTCCAAAACTATGTAATGCATTCTCCAGAAAATACCACCATACCCTTTCAAACACCTTTTCGGCATCTAATGACAGGGCAAGAAGGGGTAAATTCCTCTTAGTTGCTACATCTGCAACATCTATCAGTCTTCTGATGTTATAAATTGGGGATCTACTAGCTATAAACCCCACTTGATCTTGATGAATAATTGTTGGTATTATTTTAGCGATCCTATCCGCTAACACAGAGTAATAGATTTTGATATCACTATTTAACAGTGAGATGGGTCTCTAATTTGTTACTAGTTCCGGGTTTTTTTTAATCTGGCTTTGGGATAGGGACTATATGAGCCTTCAACATCTCTCTGGGGATATTTCCATGTATCATAAAATAATTAAACAAATTAGTAAGCGGATCAATGATATTTCCTTTAAAGATTCTATAGAAGCAATTGCTGAACCTGTCCGGCCCTGGAGCCTTCTTTGCTTTTAGCTTTTTCAACGCTAATTCTACTTCACTTCGTGAAATAGGTTCATTTAGTAGTGTCAACTGACCCTCTGTTATACCTGGGAGTTTGAGTTGAGAAATAAATTCAGACATCTTAGAAAAGTACCTTTTCTCTCTGGTAATTTATATAAGCCTAAATAATACTCCTGGAAAGCTTTACCAATCTTATCTGGTGACAGAATTACTTCTTCTCCTGTTCTTATTTTAGAAAAAAAAAAATAATCTTTTTAAACATTCTAAGGCTAGATTAGATTTATAAATCAGAATATTATTAATTGTTTCTATTTCTTTTAGTTCTTCACTACTTTTAATCGAAGGACTATTCTTGTTCTGTTTTTCCAGCATTTCATATTTGATATATAATTGTGCTAAATTTTGTAAGTTTTTTTTTCTTCTGAACCCAATTTTATGAAATGTCCCCTAATTGTGTATTTAAATTCGCAGTACAGCGATGACAATGATGTCTCAGGATTTTTGTTTGCTCTAAAATAATCATCTATAGCTTTTTGTATTATATCCACATTTTGATTTTTTTTTAATAGATGTTCATTCAATCTCCAGTTAGATCTAGCTTAGACAAAGTCGTCTTTAATAGCCAAAATTAATGCATTGTGATCTGACCATGGGATATTGGTAATTAAAATCTTTTTAACCATTCTGGCAGTATTTATCTCTGTCAATATATAATCTATTCTTGAATAGACTTGATGTGGATAGGAAAAGCACATATAATCTGTAACAGATCACCTGGCACCCCGACTGGGTACTTCCATTGACGGATGCTCCTAGCACTTCCTGAGGGCTCCAAGCACTCCAGCCGACACCATAACCACCGTAGACTTCTTCAGAGAGCAAGACAGGAACAAGCTCTTACAAGAACTTAGTAGTGATATAGCAAGGGAGTATGACTAGCATAGCAATCCCTTGTAGCAGATTCCCCCAATAAGAGACGGCACTCCAAATTGAGGGTGAAGTAGAACTGAACTTTTATTCAAACACTCTGCCTTTATGCCCATTCTACAAACAGTATCACCCACAGGGTTTTGAAGTACAACCAATCAATACATACAATACACTCAGACACTCCCACACACAATCCTCCCCTCTGCCTGTGATATAATTACTGAACAATGGGCTAACTTAATTATCATAGGCAGGAAAATACATAGTTTTGCACAATATTCATAACTCCAAAAGTATACATCACATTCAAAATCATACAAATTGGTCCAGTGGGCCAAAAGTTAGTTGGAAGTCACTTTGTGACCGACTGCAAGCATGGCTTGGGTGTGGTAAGCCAATTATCTCCAGCATACATATATCCAAACAGCGCGCAGATTCCACAAACACAGTAAAATCGCCATTGGGTTAAAGTTTAGCAACAAGTTCCAACTGGTCTGGCAGTGTCCCTGGGACAACGCCCTGCTGGAGAACAATAGACAGGAAACGAGGGAGGGGCACACCTTCTCATGTATTCAAAGGGGCAGAAAAAGTGTTTAAAAATCCAATAAGCCCAAATAATGCTTGCACGGGGAAAAGTCTCCCGGGGGCCATAGTCACATGGCAGGAGGCTGGCAATCAGTCTTCTCCAATGCCCAGTGGCGAGGCTGGTTCCGCCACATAATCCTTTTCCATAGGATGCCATATGCGCCAAATATCCATGAGGCCTGCCTTTTTGATAGTCTCATTAAATCTTAGGGAGTGTCACGATTCGGGAACCTAACACGCTAACAGGTCACAGAGAGGAAGGGTGCTATACCGGTCCTTAGAATGGCCAGGTTAAGCACACTAAGAATAGTCAGGAGACAAGCCAAGTAAAGGGAGCCAGAAAATGGGAGAACGAGAAACAAGCCGAGGTCAAAGGAGTGGAGAATACAGGAAAGTCGGAATAACAAGCCAAATAATCGGTAACCAGAGAGAAACACGAGCAAACTGCAATACAGGTATCACAAGACCACAACAGGGCACTGAGAGACAGGAAAGGTGAGTATATATCAGCAGTGCTTAATTCTGATTGGATAATTTCCAATCAGAATTAATAATCACACATGGGAGATATTTATACCTCCCACTGTGATTAGGGCACTGTGGCTTTAACGCCGGGTCACATGAGTGACCCTGGCGTTTACATAAATGCCGGGACTCCCAGCGTGCAGCGTTACACATGCTGCTGCTGGGAGGTGAGGAGGAGGATGCGAGCGGCATGCAGCGCAGAGGGGACGCCGCTCGCCTACAGGTAAGAGGAGGGGGTCCGCCCCCCTCGAGGACTGGCCGATGGGCGGGAAGCCGAAGGCTTCAAAGGAAATCGGGCATGAAAGGAGCGGATCAAAGAGGGCGCATTCAAATCAGAGGCAGAAACCCAAGACCGCTCCTCAGGGCCGTAACCCTTCCAATCCACCAGATACTGCAACCGACCCTGAGAAAAATGAGAATCAAGCAGAGCAGCCACTTAGTACACGTCACCGGAGACCGCGCGGAGGGAATCCGGCCGCCTGAGAGGACCAGAGAATCGATTACAGTTCAAGGGCTTCAAAAGGGAGGTGTAAAAAGTGTTAGGTATACGCATGGAAAGAGGTAAGGCCAGCGAGTAGGACACGGGATTCACCCTACACAATACCTTATAGGGACCAAGGAACCAGGGCACAAATTTAATCGAGGGAACCCTGAGGCGGAGATTCTTAGTGGACAACAAAACCCTATCACCCGGGACATAAGAAGGAGCCGCACACCTATAACGATCAGCAAATCTCTTCTGAGTAGTAGCCGCACGGGAGAGAGCAGCATGGACCTGATCCCACATCTTCCGAAAGGAGGCTCATCCAAAGCGGGCATTCCCTTGTCGGAGAACACACCGGGAAGGACAGAGGGTTGGAACCCATAAGCAACCATAAAAGGACTTAAGCCAGTGGACGAATGAGTCACGGTATTCCTGGCGAATTCAGCCCAGGGAAGGAGATGAGACCAGTTGTCCTGGTGTGCATTAGTGAAGCAACGTAAATATAACTCCACAGATTGATTTGCCCCTTCGGCAGCTCCATTAGATTGTGGATGATAGGAGGAAGTAAATGACAAGGAGATCCCCATCTCAGCACAAAAGCCCCTCCAAAACCGAGAGACAAATTGAGGATCCCTGTCGGATACGATATCCTGAGGTATACCATGCAAGCGGAACACCTCCCTGGCAAATATCCGAGCCAACTGAACCGCAGAAGGTAGCTTTTTAAGGGGAACAAAGTGTGCCATCTTAGAGAACCTATCAGTCACAGTTAAAATTACAGTCTGTCCATCAGATGAAGGAAGATCTACAATGAAGTCCATGGATAAGTGGGACCATGGTTTCTTAGGTACAGAAAAGGGGCATTAGGAGCCCCGGGGGTTTAATGTTAGGGGATTTACACTGTGTGCAAACACGACAAGCCTGCACATAATCTACCACGTCTTGTTTAAGTGAGGGCCACCAAAACTGTTGAAGGAGACCCTTGTATGTTTTGGTAACCCCTGGATGACCAGCAGTTTTGGCGCTGTGAAATAAAGTTAATACTTTCTTCCTATCTTTTTCTTTCAAGTATAATCTACCAAGAGGTGTCTCAGAGGGTGTTTGGGATTGGTATGTCTTGATGCCATCAAGGAAAAGAGACAAAATAACTAAACGGGTATTAGCTATTATCTTAGATGTAGGTACAATGGGTTCAGGAGCGGGGGCAATCGACTCCAAAGGTTCGTACTGTCTGGAGATAGCATCAGCCTTGACATTACGGTATCCAGGCCTATATGTGATAATGAACTGAAAGCATGAAAGAAATAAAGACCATCTGGCCTGACGAGAGGACAACCTTTTAGCATCTGCTATATAGGAGAGATTCTTATGATCAGTTATAACCAGGATTTTGTGTCTAGCTCCTTCTAATAAGTACCTCCATTCTTTAAAATCCATCACAATAGCTAATAGTTTCCTGTTCCCGACATTGTAATTCTTTTCCGAAACAGACAGCCTTTTAGAAAAGTAACAACAGGGATGGAAGGGTTCGGTATGCGATAGTCTTTGTGATAATACGGCTCCTACACCTGATTCTGAAGCATCTACTTCCATAACAAAGGGAAGGGAAGGATCAGGATGGTGTAGCACAGGGGCAGTGGCAAATGCCTTTTTGAGAGTCTCGAAGGCTTTAACGGCTTCAGGAGTCCAAACCTTGGGGTACAAACCCTTTTTAGTCAGTTTTGTGATAGGAGAAATAACTGATGAAAAGTTTTTAATAAACCTTCGATAATAATTGGCAAAGCCTATAAATCGCTGTATCGCCTTAAGGCCTTGGGGAAGAGGCCAAGACAATATGGCTTCTAATTTTGAAGGATCCATGCTGAATCCCTGTTCAGAAATGATATACCCTAGGAATTGTACTGATTTTTGGTCAAATAAACATTTCTCTAATTTGCAATAAAGACCGTTCTGCAGCAATTTCTTAAGTACCATCCTCACATGAGTATGATGTGACTTCAAATCAGGAGAATATACAAGTATGTCATCAAGATAAACTACGGCACAGATATGCAGTAAATCTCTAAGGACATCATTTATGAGGTCCTGAAACGCAGCAGGAGCATTACACAGTCCAAAAGGCATGACTAGATACTCGTAATGCCCACTGCGTGTATTAAACGCTGTTTTCCATTCAACATTCTCTTTTATACGAACCAAGTTATAAACCCCCCTGAGGTTTAGTTTAGTAAAATATCTAGAACCTTTAACACGGTCAAACAACTCAGTGATGAGAGGGATAGGATAAGCGTTTTCAATTGTTATATTATTTAGACCCCTGTAGTCTACACATGGCCTCAAATCGCCCTCTTTCTTGGCAACAAAAAAGAAACCAGCACCAGCAGGTGAAGAGGACCTTCTGATAAAACCTTTATGTAAGGATTCCCATATGTACTCCTCCATGACCTGATTTCCTTTCTCAGAAAGCGGGTAGACCTTACCCCTAGGGAGCATAGTACCAGGTAACAGGTTTATGGCACAGTCATAATCCCGGTGTGGAGGTAGCTTATCAGCCTCCCTTTTTTCAAAGACCAATGCGAGGTCTGCATACATAGGAGGGACAGAAACAGAAAGTGGTTTAGCTGTAGGTACATTAAGTAAGCAAACAGGACGTAAACGGGCCATGCAGTCTCGTTGACAAGATTCCCCCCAGGAGAGTATATCTAAACAACCCCAATCAAGTACTGGGTTGTGTTTAACTAACCAGGGAAAACCTAGAACGATGGGAGCTGTAGGGGAGTCAATTATTTGGAAGGTTAACCTTTCCTTATGTAAGGCACCCACAGCCATAACCATTTCATGGGTTTCATGGGTCACCAGAGGTTTATCAAGTGGTCTACCATCTATGGCACGAACGGCCAAGGGTGTGGCCTTTTGGATCAGAGTCAAGGCTGCGGTTTTAGCAAAGTTCTCATCCATAAAGTTGTCTGCAGCGCCTGAATCGATCAAGGCTTTGGTTTTTATGGTAGTCTGATTGATCAAAAGAGTAACCGTAATAAACAGTCTAGAGATGGAAACATGAGGGGAAAAAGACATAACACCCAAGGCCGACCCCTCTCTAGGCCTTAGGTGCTGAAGTTTCCCTGCAAATTAGGACAGTCTCTTCGGAGATGCCCCCTCTTTCCACAGTAAAGGCATAACCGATATGCTCTTTCAGCTTCAGTCAACCCTATAGCACCCAATTGCATGGGTTCGGGAGATGGTTGATTAGGAGGAGGTAATGCTAGTAATGCAGTACTGGGTAAAGCAGGTGGCACCTGTGTATTCATCCGTCTTTGACTACGCCTCTCTCTAATACTGTTGTCAATGAGAATGATATAGTCTATTAAATCATCCAGGAGAACAGGCAATTCCCTGGACGCTATTTCATCTAATATGTAAGCGGCCAAACCCTCCTGAAAGGCTGTTACGAGGGCGTCGTTATTCCATGCTACCTCAGCTGCTAGAGTGCGGAATTCAATCGTATAATCCGCTACTGATCTATTACCTTGTCGAACCCTAAGCAGAGCTTTGCCAGCGGAAGCAACCCTACCGGGTTGATCAAATGTGCACTTGAAGCTGTTAAAAAATCTGCAAAGGACATTGGGGATGTATTCTCCCACATGGGATTAGCCCATGCTAAAGCTTTCCTGGACAAGTGGTTGATTAAAAAAAGCAATTTTAGCTCTATAAGTGGGGTAGGAACGAGGATTCATCACCAAATGAATATCAATTTGGTTGAGGAAACCATGACACAACGCTGGATCACTGCTATTGCGCTGTGGTGGCATCATGTGAACCACGTGAGCAGGAACGGGTACTGGATCGGAAATGGGTTCTGGCACAGCAGCAACAGCTTCTTGCACGGCAGGTTGCAAGTGGGCAGTACGAGCCAGTATGGTTTGTAAAGCCTGGGCAAACTGATCCATATGGTGGTCTAAACCGTCCATTCTAGTCTCCTGATTCACTAACAGCTGTGGAATGTCAGCAGGTTCCATGGTGGCCCTGTTGTAATGTCACGATTCGGGAACCTAACACGCTAAGAATAGTCAGGAGACAAGCCAAGTAAAGGGAGCCAGAAAACGGGAGAACGAGAAACAAGCCAAGGTCAAAGGAGTGGAGAATACAGGAAAGTCGGAATAACAAGCCAAATAATCGTTAACCAGAGAGAAACCCGAGCAAACTGCAATACAGGTATCACAAGACCACAACAGGGCACTGAGAGACAGGAAAGGTGAGTATATATCAGCAGTGCTTAATTAGGATTGGATAATTTCCAATCAGAATTAATAATCACATGTGGGAGATATTTATACCTCCCACTGTGATTAGGGCACTGTGGCTTTAACGCCGGGTCACGTGAGTGACCCTGGCGTTTACATAAATGCCGGGACTCCCAGCGTGCAGCGTTTCACATGCTGCCGCTGGGAGGCGAGGAGGAGGATGCGAGCAGGTGCAGCACAGAGGGGGCGCCGCTCGCCTACAGGTAAGAGGAGGGGGGACCGCGGGCGGCGATGGACCGAGGGTGAGTGATAGGGAGGAATGTTTTAAATATCCTTTATTCTCCTTATTACCTAGTTTATTTCTATCCATAGTAGGGTCCAATATACAATTGAAATCTCCCAAACATATTGTTTTACCCATTTTGATTCTATCAATTACTGTACGCCTCAACCTTATTTGTGTCTCTCTCTCTGAAGACACCTCAACTCTATGTGTGTATCTCCTAACCTCTTGTGTGTCTCTTAGCTCACCTCTTACCCGCTTTTGTGCCTCTTAACCCTTGTGTGTATGTGCTGACACCCTTGTGTGTATTTTATCTCTCTCACCCCCACTTTTTATCTCTTTCCCCTCAAAACCTTTGTGTATCTATTAACCTCAGCTTATCCCCTTCTGTCTCTTACCCCTCATAAAATTTGTGTGTATTTTACCCCCATACTCTCTTGTGTGTTACTTAATACATCTTACTTCCTTGTGTGTGTCTTATCCCCTCTTATACCTTTATCCTCTTGTGTCTTCTACCACCTCTTAAAGGGACACTGTGAGCACCAATACCTCTTCAGTTCATTGAAGTGGTCTGGGTACAATGCCCCATGTCCCTTAACCCTACAGTGGTAATTATTGCAGTTTCTGAGAAACTGCAATAAATACCTGCTAGGATTAACGCCTCTTTTAGTGTGTGTTTTCTAAACAGCCACTAGATGGACTCCCACGTGCTTAGATGACTTTTTGTTGCCTAAATGACGCTGGACGTCCTCACTCTATGCTTGAGGACTTTCAGCGTTACCAAAATCCCCATAGGAAAGCATCAATTAATGCTTTCCTATGAGGAAATCCTAATGCGAGTGCAGCCATTGCGCATTAGGTCTCCCCCGCCGGCTGATGTTGGTGGGTGAGATGCATGGGCAGAGCCCAACCCAGCGCCGAGGGACATCACCGCTGGATTCAGGTAAGTGGTCGAAGGTGGTCACTGTAGGAACCTATAGTGCCAGAAAAACATCTTTGTTTTCCAGGCACTATAGAATTCCTTTAACTATTGTGTTATAAAATGCCACATAGCCTTCCAGCTGAAGTGGTAGAGGTTAACACAGTAAAGGAGTTTAAGCATGCGTGGGATAGGCATAAGGCTATCCTAACTATAAGATAAGACTAGGGACTAATGAAAGTATTTAGAAAATTGGGCAGACTAGATGGGCCGAATGGTTCTTATCTGCCGTCACATTCTATGTTTCTATGTTTCACATTAGGTTTTTAGCTGAGGAAAAAACATGCATATTGGTTTGTTTTATTTGTAATTAAATACATATTTTCAATTACAAAAAGACAGCAATGCATAAAGAAAAAACTAAATGGTACAAATTATGGAGAAGTATATTAAAAAAAGGACTTTGTCAGAAACATATCTGTTAAGCAGTCTCACAAATATTTTTTATATATACAGTCATGGGAAAAAGAAAGTACACCCTCTTTGAATTCTATGGTTTTACATATCAGGACATAATTACAATCATCTGTTCCTTAGCATGTCTATGAACAACAATACATGACACATTACACCCTGTCATGATTTATTTAGCAAAAATAAAGCCAAAATGGAGAAGCCATGTGCGAAAAACTAAGTACACACTATGATTCAATAGTTTGTCGTACCACCTTCAGCAGCAATAACTTGAAGTAATCATTTTCTGTATGACCTTATCAGTCTCTCACATTGTTGAGGAATTATAGCCCACTCTTCTTTACATCGTTGCTCTCTTTCATTCAGCATTTCATTCATTGTAGGCGGGGGTTTTGTAGAGAGGTGACAGGGGTTTGGCAGAGAGGGGCAGGGGTTTTGTAGAGGAGTTTTGCTGAGGGTGGGCCGGGGATTTGTAGAGGGGGCAATAGGGGTTTTATAGAGGGTGGGGCAAGTGTTTCCTAGAGAAGGGGCAAGGGTTTTGTAAAGTGGATGACAATGGTTTTGTAGAGAGATGACAGGGGTTTTGTAGCGGGGGATGGGCAGGGGTTTCATAGAGGGGCATAAGTTTTGTAGAGGGGAGCAGGGATTTTATAAAGGGGTGAGAGGAGTTTTGTAGAGGGGGTAATAGACGTTTTATAGAGTGGTGACAGGGCTTTTGTAGAGGGGGACAGGGCCTGTGTGAACAAGCAGTTGCATTTATAATGAATATATATGTGTGTGTGTGTGTGAATAATTATGTATGTATGTTTATATGTGGTTGGTGAATTAATCATGCTTTAGAATTTAAGTTTTATGTGGTGCCATTTGGAACCTTGGAAATCACAGACAATGCAGCAATAAAAATCAACAGACTTATTATTGCTATGTTGGCTGATTTTTACTGACGCTAGGTCGTTTGATTTTTACTGACGCTATGTCGTTTGATTTTTACTGACGCTTTGTCGTTTGATTTTTACTGACGCTATGTCGTTTGATTTTTACCTGTCAGAGTTCAGGTGCAGCCGCACAGCGCCAAGATCGGGATCACGCGACGGTGCGCCTGGCGGCAGTTGTAAGGACGGCACGGACGGCACGGAATCTAATTGCAGCAGGCCCCCAGGCCTTAGGGGGGTGCTACCAGGAGTGGGACAGTACGGAGGAAGTCTGCGGTGGGCCCCCAATTACATGCTGCTTGGAGAGTGCTAAAGGACGCAGGCCTGACATAACAGGGTGAGTCCACCCCCAAGGTATTTTCCCAGGTTGTAGCTACCAGGATGGGTTTGCATGCAATGAGTATGGTGGCACCTAAAGACTTCAATAGGGGTGGGGGTGATGAAAGTCAAGCACCAAGATCTCCACAGCTTGTCCCCCCAGCATCCCAGTCATCCTCCTCTAGTGCACAGGCAGAAAGGCGGAGGGCTGAAAAATTGACGCAGGTGATAGGTAGCGGCATCAATTCTCATCTCAGCAGAGTGCCCCCACAAGTACATGACACTGCAGACGACCGTGGGTCCACAGGACAATGGGTGGGCAGGACTAGCTGCACTCAGGATCGCTTAGCCAGGTCCCAAGGTTCCTCGGTAGGTAGTGGGGCTGGCAGACGTACTTCACATACTCGCTCCAGGAGCTTTCGTAGGAGCAGACATGACAACGCCAGTAGGGGCTCCCTTAGCTTAGCCAGGAAAAAAGACACTACGGCTTACCGGCTAGGACGACGAGTCCCAGGAGTAGCACTTCCAGGTCCATCAGCAGAGGCTCCCCTGACAGTCGTGCGAGGGGATCAGCTAGAGACAGGTACGGCCGCAAGGGTTGTCACTCATGATCAGGGACTCAGGGAGAGGCCAGGAGGGTCTTTTTCCCAGGATGTCAGGACGCCAGGTCCAGAAGTTGTCACTCATGATCAGGGACTCAGGGAGAGGCCAGGAGGATCTTTTTCCCAGGATGTCTTTCTTTTTCCAGGTCGCCAGATCAGGAAGCTGCAGGCACAGGATCTTGACTGGATGTGGCTTCACCTGGAATTACACACGGCGTATGTCAGGGAGCAGCCCCAGGATTGGAATTCACACGGGGTTCGGTTGGTGAGTCCCATCTTGCACCACATTCAGAGGAACTGATGGAGCATTTAAAAGCATTTCTTCACTCGTGGAGTGCAGGGAAAAACGGACAAAGGCTCTTTTAGTCAGGTGTGGGTTCCAGGGCCGCTGGAGGGTGGAACGGTTAAGCACGGTACCTTGGTGGGTGCAATGAGTGCGGTAAGCGATGCAGGAACAGTTAGTTCAGTTGGCGACATGGTTCCAGCATCATCAGCATCGGTTCTAACCTAAACAGCGATCCAAAGGGCAATATTGATAGGGGAAATTCAGGATGCTGCCCACCAAAATGTGCACATCTCTTTTGCGGGTCCTTTGGGCTGCCATCTAAAGCACAAACTCAAAGATAGGATTTGGAAAGGGTAGTTTGTGGAGATTTTCTCCCTCCTTCCCCTAGAGGACTATTTAGACTTGAAAGAAGAGCACAAGAAGGATTCCAAAAGCAAGAGGAAGAAAAGCGACCTAAGTATAGAGAGATTCGCAAAACTTTCGGAAACTGGGTTAGGGCTCTCTGTAACTTGGCTAGTGTGTTAGGAGAGAAATCGCCGGATAAGTGCTCCTGGGAATCCTATCACACATATGGGGGTCTCATATGTTGGAGATATGATGAATAGTTCAGCCAGCGTTTGTCAGCCAATCCAAGCATGTGGTGGGACCAAATGGACCTCGCGCTCTGGATGAAACTGACAATGGCTCAAAAATCGCAGCCCTTTCAGAGTGGGGCCGGCGCCGGTTCCTCTTCTACCTCGTCAGCTATCCATAGGAGGGGATATTGTTGCGAGCCAATGTAAGTGGGGAGCAACATGCCATTTTAAGCACAAGTGTTCAGGTTGCAGCAGAGTACACGGCTTTAATCGATGCTTCAAGCATGGAAAAACTGCGCCAGCTGGAGCCGCTGGAGGTACTTCGGCACCATCCTCTGCCATTGGGGTGCTCACTTGTGAGGGTCGGTGCGATGCTTCCATGGTTAAACAAACACATTAGATGTGAGGATGCAGTACTCCTTCAGGGTTTGGTTTCACTCAAGGGTTCATGATTCCTTTTCTAAATCGGTCGGTTGTTCGTTGTTTGCATAGTCTGCAGTCTGTGGTTAAATTTCCCGAAGTCATGCGGGACAAATTGCTTGTGGAAGTCCAATTGGGATGGATGGCAGGGGATTTCGCCCTTGGGTGTTGTGCCCAAGAAGGAAGCTGGGAAGTTCCACCTTATTCACCACCTTTCCTACCCTACAGGTTCATTGATGGGGCACTCTGTTCATTTTTATATGTTTCATTCGACCAAGCAATTGTGTTGGTTTGGAGGACGGGTCCAGGGGCATTACTGGTTAAAGCTGATGTGGAAACAGCTTTTCGGCTGTTACCCATTCACCTCGCGTGGCACTATTTTTCTTTGAGGGAAAATACTTAATTGATCTCTGCCTGCCCATTGGGTGTTCAATCTTATGGGCATACTTTGAAAAATGTAGTACCTTCCTAGAATGGGTAGTTAAGATGGAGGCGGAGCTATTATTTGGACCACTTCTTATGCGTTGGTCCCTCTGATTCCGATACCTGCAGGATTAGTTTAAGAACGCTGGAATGGGTGGCTAATGTCTTCGGGGTACTATTGGCGGTTGACAAAACTGTGGGGCCTTCAACATGTCTTAGTTTCTTGGGGCTTAAAAATCTACACCGTAGCAGACGAATATAGTTTACCAGAGGACAAGTTAGTTGCTTTTCGGGAAGCCATTGCTGAGGTTCGGTGGTCTAAGAAAGTGACCTTATGCACGCTGCAGTCATTAATTGGGTGCTTGAATTTTGCATGTCAGGTGTTCAATAGATTCTTTGCCAAAGCCCATGAAGGAGGACTTGGGAAATTTTCTTGAACGACTTTAATGGGCGGGTTTTCTTTCGGGACAAGGCAGTCTCGTCACCCAACTTGGAATTGTTCACGGATGCGTTGGGTATGGTGGGTTTCAACGCTTACTTTGCGGGCCAATTGTGCGCTGCACAGTGGCCTTCATCTTGGTCTTTGTGCGCGCTTATTCGGAATTTGGCATTTTTGGAACTATTTCCATTGCTGGTGGCTTTGTCATTATGGGGGCCCATATTACGGGACAGGAAAGTAATCTTAACATGTCAGTGGTGGGCACGGTAAATAACTTGTTGGCCTCTTCAGTTCCTGTGGTTCGGCTATTATGTCGCTTTGTCCTGCATTGAATGCAATTGAATAATGTTTTTCTTGCACGCCATGTACCGGGCATCTTAAATGTAATCTTATTCGCTTTCTCTTTTTCAGTGGGCGAGATTATGTGCAGAGGCACCGGAGGCACAGGTGGTCGAAATGGGGCAGCTCGGGACTTCATGCTTGGAGGGCTAATCAGGGATTCGTTGGCACCAAGCACCTGGGCGGCATACAGTAAAGTGTGGTATTCTTGGGATGCTGTGTTGGGGTGTACTTAGTGGAATTATTCGGTAGAGTTACGTTTAGATGTTTTTTTTATGGTTTCTGTGCAGGTTGTTTGCGTCTGGGGCCCAGTGGGTTGCGCTTCTCGTTACTTGGTGGTTCGTTCACAGGCGGGTGGTTCCTTTTTCATCCATGAGGATGGGTCATCTCTGTCCAAATATCAGTTTTCTAGAGTTTTCGTATTCATTTCGTATTGGTCATTGATGGAAGTCACTCAGCTGGGTTTAACTGATGAGCTAGTTAAAAAGATTGGTCAGTGGGAATCGGTGAGGTTTCAGTCTTTCGTATGACCTGGTCGGTTACTACAAGGTCCAAAAAGGGTGGTTTTGTTTTATGGTGTGTTGGTTCTACCTGTTTCTTTAATCTTTTAGGATGGGTTGCCTAGATAATAGGCCATTCCTTCGTCTACTGGGCGGAACGGAGAGCTGCAGTTCGACCTCAAGGCGTGCAGCTGGGCTTTCCACAGGATTTAGTTAAATTGCATTGGTTTGGTCTTCGTGGGTTTTGTTGGGGTGATATCTGCTCTGAATTGTTTACAAAGATAGGGAAAGGCCTAGTTCCGGATTTAATTTTGATCCATTCCTGGGGTAATGACTAGGGGCTTGTGCCTCAAAGGGTCTAGGTACGGAGCATGAAGAGGGATGTGGATAGGGTGATAGGGTTCCCGGGTGTAACGGTCATTTAATCTGAAATTGTGCTGCGGCTACATTGGCGTTTTGCTAGAGCCCCCACAGTGATAGCTAAATGTAGGAGTAAGATCAATCAGTTGATGGTGGTCTATATTAAGAGGTTAGAGGCTGTGGTAGTCAGGCATCGGGACTTGGAAGCTATGCTTCCTGCCTATTTCAGGATTGATGGGGTCCATCTGTCTGATGTGGGCATAGATTTCTTGAGTTTTCAGGAAGACTTGAGGCACGCACTGTGTAGGGGGGTGGGGGTGGCGTATAGGCGAGTGGAGGGGGTGCTCAGATAGCTTGAGGTGTTCAAGCTCTGTGCTGTGGTGGGGGATTGATAAGAAAATTGGGGGGTAGGTTGGCTTGGTAAGTGGAAAAATTTCAAGGTCAGGATCAATTGTTTTGTTTGCATTGGTTTGGTAGGTTCCAGCTCATTGATAGCTCTGAACCTGGGTGTTTAGGGGTATCTCAGTTTACAAGTGAGAAAAGATGTTGTTGCTGGCTGTGGTAACCGTTTGTGTTGTTATGTTAGATATTGCATTAGTATATTGCTGTTATTTTGTGGGGGTCATTGTCTGTAAATGTTTTACATTGAAGTTGTTGGAATTCAATGTCTTTAGTGTGTTTCACTTTGACCCCTTATTTTTATTGTTTTTAAAAAAATAAATTATTAATAAAAGCTGTGATATTTTCCCAAGAAGTTACTGGTGTTCGTGTTTAATTGGGGGTGGTGGTGTGTTATAGGGGTTTGTTAAGAATATGCCTAGGGGACGACTATGCGCATGTCATGTACTGTCTTCTCCAATGTAGTATCCTTAGCTGTGGAAGTTGGTAGCTTTTGTTTCCTCTTTGGTTGTATTTTCTGAGAAATATATGCATATGAGCGTATCATTTTTCTTTTAGGGGGGGTTGGATGTCGGGTGAGCTCCCACACTTTTTTCCCCAGGACTTGACCTCTGGGTTTTGTAGAGGAGGGTAGGGGTTTTGTAGAGGGGTGACACGAGTTTTGTAAAGGGTAGATAGGGGTTTTGTAAAGGGGGACAGGGGTTTTGTAAAGGGAGTGACAGGAGTTTTTTTAGAGGGGTGACAGGAGTTTTGTAGAGGGGTGACAGGAGTTTTGTAGAGGGGTAATAAGGGTTTGTAGAGCGGACAGGGGTTTTGTAGATGGCAGTGGGTAGGATTTTGTAAAGGGGTAGGATTTTGTAAAGGGGTAGGGGGTTTGTAGAGGGGGGGCATAGGTTTTCTAGAGAGGTTACAGGGGTTTGGTAGAGGAAGGCAGGCATTTGAAGAGGAGGCAGAGGTTTTGTAGAGGGGACAGGAGTTTTGTAGAGAAGGGCAGGGGTTTGTAGAGGGGGCAGGGGTTTTGCAGAGGGAGTGACAGACATGGGTTTTATAGAGAAGCAGCAGGGGTTTTGTGCATGGGTGAAAGGGGTTTTGTAGAGGAGGGCAGAAGTTTTGTAGAAGGGTGACAGGAGTTTTGTAAAGGGAGTGACAGGGGTTTTGTAGAGGAGGGCAGGGGTTTTGTAGAGGGGTGACAGGGGTTTTGTAAAGAGACAGATACGGTGTGACAGGGTGCAGGAGTTTTATTAGGACTTTCTCCACAACGTGCGCTCAGTCTGCGCCACAACTCCAAGAGAGGAATATTGAGAATGCGTCGCATTTTTTAGTGTCTTTTTTTTACAAATCATTTTAGCACCTCAAATTTGGATAGTGGACAATGGCATGTCCACCTCCTTAAACATAGGTGGGGGCTAGTTAGGGGACAATAGTTTCCCCCAATGTATTATTAATAGAGCCCCCACCCACAGCCCATAGGTGGGGGCTGGGAGATAGGACACTAGGTTCCCACCTTGTATTTTTTTTTTTTAAATTCCCATCCTCCGCCCATGGGTAAGAGCTGGGGTGGGAACACTAGGTTCACACACCTCGCCTTCCCTAATATACAATTAGTAGCCCTCACTTGTTGACCAGGAGGGGGCAGGGAAGATATTAGGAATAGTCCCACCCAGCCTTGTCATGGGTGAGGTAAAGGGGGTGGACAATCATTTGCCCACCCTCCATTTACAAAGCCCCCACCCAATGTCTATTAGTAGGGGTAAGGGGACCATGTCCCATCCCCTGCATAATGTTACAGGGAATTGCTGCCCAGTCACTATTTTTTTAAGTTTAGCAGATATGTGGGGGATAGTGGGGGCATGTGGAGGTTTAAAACCTACCTTTTAGTGCTATGGTATTGATCCCCAAAAGTTTATTAATACAATTTCTTTTTTTATAACTTTAATGCAGTAACTAACTAGCAAGCGCTAGCCAGCTTCCATATTAGTAACCGTTGCAATGCCAATTGCTCGCTGGGTGCTAGTGCTTCAAGTAGGCGTTAATTTTCTAAAACCTGGGCTGAGATTTAAAGCATTTGGGTATGGATTTCAGACGCCTGAAATCCGGACCTAGGTCAGGCCCGTTTAGTGCCTGAATTTCAAAACCCAGACATTGTTGAATAAAATGAAGAATGTCAGAATTTTGCCGTTCAAATGGCCTCATTTGCAGCCAGATGACTTGTCTTCTTCCAATTTTCCCTTTACTATTTTCCTCTCGATGTTTTACGACACTATTTTACATTACGTAGGGGGATAAAAACTGGCCAGGTTACTGTATTGTAGAATATATATTCTCTCTTTTAGCTGATAATGAGAGCTAGGTTATCATAAAATCAGGTACCTGTACTGTTCTTTTGTAAGTGGGATCATGTGACTGCTATTTGGCTCAGTAGGTTAAGGGAGTGGTAACTAAATTATGCGTGTTCGAGAACATCAATATGAATAACTTGGCACAGTCTAAAAATCTGGGTGTGGTAGGACATTGTATCATAGTTCTTCAGATACTAAACAAATCTCTTATATTCCTTAGGAGGTGTTGGCCTTGCATACAGATGAAGCAGTACATAAAGGTGTTAATAGCATCTGATTTGAAATTCACTATAATTTAAATATCTAGTGAACTCTTTACAGTTTGTAGAATTCTAGGATGCAGAATAGGATATAGAGCAAAGTCCCATGATTAATACGCAATAGTTTCTGTAAGAACATTAGCATGATTAAATAGACTGCTTTTAAACATTGCTTAAACTCAGCGAAAAAAACCAGAAATTGTCACTAAACAGTACCCACTGATTTGACTTTTATTCATGTTGGTTTTCTTGGGACCCTGGCATCTTAGTGTCTTACTCAACTATTTGACTATGCCGTAAACACCAAAATATATACAAAATACAGATTAGCTAAAAGGGCACAGACACAAATAACAGTTTTACCTTTTATAAGGCTACTTAAAATCACCTCTCTTAGCAAACAAATATGCGGAGTTAGTTGCACTACGTCACAGTACTCCAATATCGGTGGGTCCAACACCAATTTTAACATGGGTGATGAAATTACTAACTAAAATACTTGTTGCTTAAACGGCTTCCAGATTCTCCTCAATTTATGCTTTCCTGTTGTCACCTCCAAAGAAGCGCCTATATTGTGTGGGTGGGGTGCTAAACCCAATTGGAATCAGGTCTAGATTGCAAATCTACACAGAAAAAAGGAGAATTCGGTTCACACCCAGAACATGCATTTCCAAGTAGTTTTGGTGCTGTAAAGACCAAAATATATACAAAAAAAATGCAAAATTAAGCCTTGTGCTCAAACTCCCAATACACCTTGGCAACAGCAATGTCTATAGTACACATCAACCCCGATACATATAATAAAACCAAAGAAAAAAGTTAATTGTGTGCTATTCCAAATCCCTATGCACATTTAAAAAACTGGAGGTTTTTAGTATAATTCCAATGTTGTATTCCTAGTATTATAGTACGCTATAGTGCCCCTCTTGCTTGCACCCTCCCCACCCCCTGCACAGCGCAGAAAGTGTTTTGTCACTTACTTGAATCCAGCACCGATGTACCTTGTTGCTGGGTCAGGCTCCGCCTCCGCTCCTCCTTTACCGATGTCAATGTGCGACGTGCACCGTGATCACATTAGGATTGAATCAATGCTTTTCTATGGGGTTTTAGCTGAAGTGTGTGATGGTATTGGCTTGTGTATGTGTGATAAAGAGAGTTGAGCGGACACCTGGATGTTCGGGTCCGGCGGGTTCGGCCGAACTTTGAAAAAAAGTCCGGGTTCGGGCTCAAACTTGACCCCAAACACGAACCCCACTGAAGTCAATGGGGACCTGAACTTTTCGCCACAAAAATGCCTCTAAAAAACTCCTGGAAAGAGCTAGAGAACTGCAAAAGCAAGTAAAATGGGGGTAAGAGTAGGACAAGTGCCCTGCAAACAAATGTGGATAGGGAAATCACTTAAAATAACATAAAAATTAAAAATACAGCTGAGCCATAAAACAGCACTATATGGAATCTTTGATTTTAGCTTTAGAAGAACATAAATCAAAATCTAAAGCATGGCTGTCAGAAGAATCACCAAAAAAAGCCTTCACAAGCCTCTGCTATTGTGTACATAGTTTATACTAAGTGACCCATAGGTTGAGGAGGCGTGACCGTGGCGATGTAGGTGGAAGCGGCGGTGGAGGAGGAAGCCAACACTGTTTATATATATCTATTTTTTATTTTAATTGGGGTAGCCCCCAAAATATTGGGACATACAAAAAAAAGAAACATTTGCGGCCTGCGGTGCATTTCTTGCAGTCCAGATGCATGGAGACATGCTCAACTCCTGATGCATGGAGAAAAGGCCTTCACAAGCCTCTGCTATTGTGTACATAGTTTATACTAAGTGACCCATAGGTTGAGGAGACGGTGACCGTGGCCGTGTAGGTGGAAGCAGCAGTGGAGGAGGAGGATGAGGTAGCCAACACTGTTTTTTATGTTTTTTTAAATTTTTTTAATTGTGGTAGCCCACAAAATATTGGGACATACAAAAAAAGAAACATTTGCGGCCTGCGGTGTATTTCTTGCAGTCCTGATGCATGGAGAAATGCTCAACTCCTGATGCATGGAGAAAAGGCCTTCACAAGCCTCTGCTAATGTGTACATAATTTATACTAAGTGACCCATAGGTTGAGGAGGCAGTGACTGTGGCGGTGTAGGTGGAAGCAGCGGTGGAGGAGGAGGATGAGGTAGCCAACACTGTTTATATATATCTATTTTTTATTTTAATTGGGGTAGCCCCCAAAATATTGAGACATACAAAAAAAAGAAACATTTGCGGCCTGTGGTGCATTTCTTGCAGTCCTGATGCATGGAGAAATGCTCAACTCCTGATGCATGGAGAAAAGGCCTTCACAAGCCTCTGCTATTGTTTACATAGTTTATACTAAGTGACCCATAGGTTGAGGAGGCGGTGACCGTGGCGGTGTAGGTGGAAGCGGCGATGGAAGAGGAGGAGGTAGCCAAAAGCCAAAAAAAGAATACAAAGAATAAGTGCACTTGAGTATAACAATGGCTGGGTGAGGCTGGTATAAATGTCTATTCTGCACAAGGTACAGACAAGTCTGGTGGGATCCATGCCTGGTTCATTTTAATAAACGTGAGCTTGTCCACGTTGGCTGTGGACAGGCTGCTGCACTTGTCTGTGATAACGCCCCCTGCCATGCTAAACACACATTCAGACAATCCAAGGCATAAAGGGCAAGCTCAGTGTGCCCAATTTGGAGACCCAGAAGTTGAATGGGGCAGACCCATCAGTCAGTACGTGTAGGCGTGTGCACATGTACTGTTCCACCATGTTGCTGAAATACTGCCTCCTGCTAAGACCTTCCATATCAGATGGTGGTACTGGTTGTTGTGGCGTGCTGACAAAGCTTTTCCACATTTCGGCCATGCTAACCCTGCCTTCTGAGGTGCCGGCGGTGCCCCAGCTGCGTTGGCGACCTCTTCCTCCTCCACTGCCTTCGCCTTGTGCTTCCACTGAGCCCCCGGTGTCAGATGGGAATGCCCTCAGCAGCAAGTCCACCAGCGTGCGCTTGTAGTGGCGCATCTTCCGATCACGCTTAAGTGAGGGAATTAAGGACGGCACATTGTCCTTGTAATGGGGATCCAGCAGGGTGGCCACCCAGTAATCAGCACAATTAGAATGTAGGCAACTCGGCAGTCGTTGCGCAGGCACTGCAGCATGTAGTTGCTCATGTGTGCCAGGCTGCCCAGAGGCAAGGACAAGCTGTCCTCTGTGGGAGGTGTATCGTCTGTGTCCTCCGTTTCCCCCCAGCCACGCTCCAGTGATGTCCACGAGCTGTGTTGGGTGCCACTCTGCTGTGAACACGGTTCCTCCTCATCCTCATCATCCTCCTCCTCATCCTCAAGAACTGTGCCCTGCTGGACAATTGTGGCCTTTGCTGGTGCAGGAACCCACCCTCCAAGCCACTTGTGAATTACTGGCCTGAGAACGGCGTCATCGGCACAGGCCATGTTGGTGGAGTACTCGAAACAGTGCAAAATGGCACACAGGTCTCACATGGAGGCCCACTCATTGGTGGTGAAGTGGTTCTGTTCTGCCGAGCGACTGACCCATGCGTGCTGCATCTGAAACTCCACTATCGCCTGCTGCTGCTCACACAGTCTCTCCAGCATGTGCAAGGTGGAGTTCCACCTTGTGGGCATGTCACATATGAGGCGGTGAGCGGGAAGGCCGAAGTTACGCTGCAACACAGACAGGCAAGCAGCAGCAGGGTGAGAACGCCGAAAGCACGCACAGATGGCCCCCCCTTTTCTGCAGCAGCTCTGAAATATCTGGGAAGTTTTTCAGGAATTTCTGCACCACCAAATTCAGCACATGCACCAGGTAAGGGATTTGCGTCAAACCGGCTAGGCCCAAAGCTGCTACGAGATTTCGGCCATTATCGCACACCACCAGGCCGGGCTTGAGGTTCAGTGGCAACAACCACTCATGTTGTTCCATGCCGATCCACAGCCTGCTGTCGTTTCCCTGTGGCTGTGCTGAAGTTGGTGGTGAAGGTGTTACACTGCCCGGATGAGGTGGTGGTAGAGGAGGAGGAAGTGGAGTAGGAGGAGGAGGCAAAAGGAGGCAAAGAGAAATGCCCTGCAATCCTCGGTGGCAGAAGGAGATGCACCAAACTGCTATCCGCCTCAGGCCCAGCCGCCACTACATTTGCCCAGTGTGCAGTTAGGGAGATATAGCATCCCTGCCCGTGCTTACTGAGCCACGTATCTGTGGTTATGTGGACCTTGCCACAGATGGAGTTGCGCAGTGCACACCTGATTTTGTCCGCCAATTGGTTGTGCAGGGAAGGGATGGCTCGCCTGGAAAAGTAGTGGCGGCTGGGAACCACGTACCATCAGGTTCTTAAAACTGTCCGTCTCCACCAGACGGAATGACATCATTTCAAAGGCCACGAATTTTGAAATGCTGTCATTCAGGGCCAGGGATTGCGGGTGGGTAGGGGCATACTTCCTCTTTCTCGCCAGTGTTTGGGAGATGGACAGCTGGACGCTTCCATGGGACAGTGTGGAGATGCTTGGGGACGGTGGCGGACATAGTGGCGTTGCTGTTACATCCTCTGTTTTCGGGGTGGCAGGTGCCACTGTCACTCCAGAGGTGGAGGAAGAGGCTGAGACAGCAGCAGAAGAGAAAGGAGGAGGAGCCTTAGACCTTTCTTGGTTTTTGATGTGCTTACTCAACTGCAGCTCGTGCTTTGCATGTAGATGCCTGGTCATGCAGGTTGTGCTCAGGTTTAGCATGTTTATGCCTCGCTTCAGGCTCTGATTGCACAACGTGCAAACCACTCGTGTCTTGTCGTCAGCACATTGTGTGAAGAACTGCCATGCCAGGGAACTCCTTGGAGCTGGCTTTGGTGTGCTCAGTCCCTTGGTGCGGTGGGCAGTATGCTGTGCTGGTGCCCTGTGCGACCACCACCTCTTACTCCAAACTGCACAAGTCACTTGCATGACCTTCATTCCATGTGGGGTTTAGGACCTCATCTTCCACCCACTCCTCAACCCTGCCCTCCTTGCCGGTCTGCACACTGCAGAAAGCCACAGTAGTTGGCACCTGTGTTTCGTCATCATCAGAGACGTGCTGCGGTGGTCCTTGCATGTCCACATCCTGACACATAAGTGGTTGTGCATCAGTGCACTCAATCTCTTCCACTTCTGGGGCAGGGCTAGGTGGATGGCCCACGGAAACCCCACCAGCAGAGTCATCAAAAAGCATAAGAGACTGCTGCATGACTTATGGCTCAGACTCCTTTGCTGATTTGCAAGGCGGTGAGGTGATCTACTATCGTCTGTACTTGTTCTGGCCTCACCATTCGTAGAGCGGCATTCGGGCCTACCAAATAACGCTGAAGGTTCGATCGCCTACTCGCACCTGAAGAAGGTGTTTCACTTGTGCGTGTAGCTGGAACAGATCGACCATGTCCCCCTTTCCAGAGATGCAGGCACAGCTATTGTAAAACACCAAACTCACGAACCGCCAATAAGTGAATGCTCCAAACTCCCGAACAGCATCCAATATAGCACTCCAAACACATGAACTGGAACCATACGAATCGCTGCTAGCAGATGAATAGGAAAAGCATCCAAGCGGCTTACACTCCTAGCAATCAGTCTCTATCAGCGTTCAGTAAATCCCCCGAAAGACGAGAAAAGGCTCCGTGTTGAGGGTCAAGCAGTGGTCAGACAGAGCTGTGGGTTTATTGTTCTTATGTACACATTCTTACACATTAGTACCACCCACAGGGTTTTGGAACACAACCAATAAACACATACAATACACTCAGACACTCCCACACAAAATCCTCCCCTCTGCCTGTGATTCAATTACCTTACACAATGGGTAATGTAATTATAACAAGCAGAGAAATACAATTTTTCCACATTATTCATAACTTGAAAAGTATACATCACATTCATATATAACTTACATCAGCATACTCCAAATACAAACATACGTCAAAATCATACAAATTGGTCCAGTGGTTCAAAAGATAGATCATACTCCTTTGTGACCAAAGGAAGCATGGCTTTTCTGCCCAAAGCCAGTTCCACAGAGTCTGCTATCCTGGAGATAATTGGGAAGTAATCCAATTATCTCCTAGGACAGAGGCAAAACTCCATTGAACACATGGCATCAAAAAACAATAAAACACATAAAACACATAAAAACATATAACTGTGGAGTATCACCGCTCAAACAGGGCAAGCACCAAATGACCCGGCTTTCATGTCTTTGCAGGGGAAAATCAAGCCTTTTAACATGGGGCCATAATCCAAAGGCAACAGGCGAGCAACCAGGCTTCTCCAATGCAATCTGGCGAGATTGGTCTCGTCACAGGCCCTGTTTACAACTGCGCAGTAAGCGCACTATTAGACGCTTCTATTTGACTCTCAGATATGAAGAGCACCCCACTAATGTACTTTTTAGCATCAAAATAAAATGACTTTTTAAAACTGCAATGTGAGAGCAGTATTTGACGCTTCTATTTGACTCTCAGATATGAAGTACACCCCACCCCATTAATGTACTAGTTTGCAGAATTCTTTCCTAAGCTGTCCCTATCAGCGGCAGCATCATCTCCCTACACTAATAAGAGCTCAGCGTTTGATCTATAAAACAGCCGCTGGCTCCCGAGTCGATGAAGGCTGTGACTGGATGATCTCTATTTCCCCACTGGAGAGAGAGGGGATCAGAGAGATAAGAGGAGGCTGGTGGAATAGTAGGAATCCAAGAGGAAGGAGCTATAATATTCTTACCAGGTGAGGTATTGGGTCAAACTGGGCAGGACTGTAGTTGATGATCTGTCTTTCCACAGTAGAGACAGAGTCCTTGAAAGAGGCGCCTATTTGCATGGGTTCTTCAGAGGAGGAAGAAGAAGAAGAAACCACAGAGCCTGAAAAAAACAGTGGCCAGGTATTAGCTGAAGTTTGTCTCTCGCTTCTCCGTTCACGGAAGTGGCAGTCTAATTGTGTGACAAGGAGGATCAGGTCATCCAGAGTGGTAGATATCTCTACTCTGGCCAGTTCGTCTTTTAAGGCCTCAGACAGACCCAATCTGTATTGCTCTATTAGACCAGTCTCATTATAACCGGTATCAGCAGCTATAATCCTCCACAGGTCTTTTCCCTTGCCGGAGGGCACGGAGGGTACTGCGGGCAGCAGAAGGTCTCAAAGGATCATCATATAACAAGTGCATGTTTGCAGCAAATGAATCCCATGATTCCAATATTGAGCTATTGGAATGCAAACGTTGGTGCGCCCAGGTCTGGAGTTGACCAGATAGTAAAGCGATGGTAGTACGAACCTTCACAAAGTCATTAGGGTAGGTACGTGGCTTCAGAGTGAAGAGTAATTCGCAGGCTGTAATGAATGAACGTAGTTCAGTATTTTTTCCTGTAAATTTGTCAGGCATAGGAACGTTTGGTTCAAAAGACATAGGCGTCATATGGGCACCAGAAGGGGATCCTGAACGGCTTGGGCTAAGGCCGACATTTGTTGGATTAATGCAGTAATGGCCTCAGCTGTTCCTGCAGGTTCCATATTTAAATATCTTGGTTATTATGTCACACCCACCTGGAGATTCATTTTGCTGATGGAACCCAATTGGAATGGAACAGCACTCCCTTACTATCACGACCCTTAGGAGCACCTGAAAGTGAAGACAGGGTCCCAAAGGGTCTGTGGTGGCATGGAGGCCTTTAATGAATAGAAGAATTCCAGGAGGAAGGAGCAGGAAAAAACAAAAATTGCAGTCAGGCAGCAGGCAGATGTAGTCGATCAATCTGGATTTAGGTCAGGAAGCAGGTGGGAGCAATCATCCAAGGAATCAAGGATCAGGAACCAGGAACATAAGCTGGAAATTAGGGCAATTGGCAGGTATAAAGCAATAAGCAAAATAACCAGGCACTGACTGTAAGGTGTGCTGGGTTTAAATAGGTGACTGGGATCACATGACCGGCCACCTCCCACCAGTAGGTGGAGGCCAGGGACTTGGCGCCATCTTGTTTTATACCATGGTCCCTGACCTGTTCCTCCCCTATGGATCTGCAGCTCTCCTCCTCCTCCCTGTGCAGAACGCCAGGTCCACATGGCGGCCGCCATCTTCTCCACAATGGCGTGCTCGCCGCAGACCTCGGCGGTGAGAGGAATAGAAGAAGCCTCCACAGACCCAGAAGGGGAGCCTTCAGAAGTGGTGAGAACTGCGATTCTGCCGCGCAGGCGCCCAAGGGCAGGTGAGTACCCGGCCGTGACAGGTAAGACCTCACTTGGAGTATTGTACGCAGTACTGGAAACCGTATCTTCAGAAGGATATTGATACTCTAGAAAGAGTTCAGAGAAGGGCTATTAACCTGGTTCATGGAATGCAGGATAAAACTTACCAGGAAAGGTTAAATGATCTTAACATGTGTAGCTTGGAGGAAAGATGAGATGGGGGGGATATGATAGAAACATTTAATTATATAAAGGGATCAACACGGTAAAGGAGGAGACTATGTTTAAAAAAATAAAACTACCACAACAAGAGGACATAGTCTTAAATTAGAGGTGCAAAGGTTTAAAAATAATATCAGGAAGGATTACTTTACTGAGAGGGCAGTGGATGCATGGAATAACATTCCAGCTGAAGTGGTAGAGGTTAACACAGTGAGGGAGTTTAAGCATGCCTGGGATAGGCATAAGGTTATCCTAGACTTAAGATAAGGCCAGGGACTAATTAAAAGTATTTTTAAATATTGGGAAGACTAGATGGGCCGAATGGTTCTTATCTGCCGTCACATTCTATGTTTCGAGTCCTTCTGCAATTTCCAGCCAGGGTAAGGTGAGGCTGCACTGTCTGCTCAGCTCACTTCTACTCGCCTTCCATCCATGTCTCTTCTACCCCCTGCCATTCCATCCATGTCTCTGTTCCCCTTTCTTCCATATATGTCTCTGTTTCCTTCTCATCCATATCGCTTCTTCCCCCTTCCTTCCATGTCCCTTTTCTCCTCTTTCCATTCATGTATTTTCCCCTCCCCACATCCATCCATGTCTTTCCCTTCCCTTCTCATCCATATCTCCCCTCTGGCACCTTCCATCCATGTCTCTCCTCTGGCACCTTCCATCCATGCCTTTTTTACCTCTCCTTCCATCCATGTCTCTGTTCTTCTCCCTTCAATGTCTCTTCTTCTTTCTTCTTCCGTGTCTCTTCTCTCTCCCCTTCTATCCATGTCTTTTTCTCTCCCCACGACCCCTTCCATCCATGCCTCCCGCCCCCTTCTATCCATGCCTCTGTTCCCCTCCCTTCCATTCATGTATATGTTTCCCTCCGTTCCTTGTCTCTTCTTTCCCCTTCTTCCATGTCTGTTTTCTCCCCTTTCCATCTCCCACTTGATCCATCCATGTCTCTTCCTCAACTTCCATTCATGTTTCCATCTCACCATCCATGTCTCTGTTCCTGTTCTCCTACCTACCATGTCTCTTCTTCCCCCTTTTTCCATGTCTCTTCTTCCACTCCCCCCCATTCCATGTCTCTGCCTTCCTTCCCTTCAATTCAACCATGTCTCCCCCCCCCTGCCCCATCCCCAATCCAGCCTTGCTTACAGAGTCGGCACCCTAGGCAAAGGTAATGCTGGCTCTGCTCACATACACATTGATGGTCCCCTCTCTGCTGTTTTACCTGTCATGGCAGGGGAGGATGGAACCTCTATGTCCAGTACTGGTGTGCTGTTAGACTGTGTGCTGGGTAGTCATGTGACACCCAGCGCTAATACGCATAGAGAAAGGAGGTGACACTCCCTTTCTAAAGTATTGTGCATGTGGTGTCCTTATGGAGCTGCATGATACCTGCAATGGAAAACAATGGTCCGGACACGACTTACAGTGGCCCAAACCGGACACATTGTAGGACTGGCTCCAACTAAATTGTTGTGGGCAGTTGGGCAGTTGTTTTGGGCCCCCCAGGAGTAACTGCCCTGTTTTCTCCACGTTAAAGATGGCATTGTTTAGCCCCAACCAAGTCTATACACACACTTTGCCACAAACACTTCATCAGGGCAATTCATACCTACATTCTAAGCACCACAACACAACAACTACATCATTCTTCATCACGTCATAGGTTGGATGGATTTGTGTATTGTAGACAAATGTCCTGTTCTTTTCCAGAACATACTCTCTGAGCTATCTAAAGCCCTTTCCCCTCTCTTAGAATGGCAGCAGTAGTGTGCGTCTGGGGGATGAAAAACTGTGTTTGAAATATGAAGAATACTGTGTTAACCTAAGGATTGAGGGGTCTAATCCGTAAAAACCTGCCAGAAATAATATTATGCAGTCCATCTACAGGACGTTATGAAATGACACATACAGGGCCGGCCTTTGCAGTGCCCCTCCCTTGTCATACCCCTTCATCCATGTATTTTGTGTAGTGTTTGCATAGGGGACTTAGGAGTAGATAGGGGGCAGGGGCACTGTAGGAGTAGTTGGGGGCACTCTAGGAGTAGTTAAGGGCAGGGGCACTGTAGGAGGAGAAATTTTTTGAGGAGACAGTTTTCTTTTAAGTGTAAGTGATGTGGCTGGGTCCTTGTCTGAGCCCTAGGGAAGGGGCTCAAAACTGGTAACCGCCCCACCCTAGGGCCTGGAAGGATCATAATCTCAGTCTATTTGTATCTGCATGTGAATATTTGTTTAAGCAGAATGTGAATATTAGTAAGGAAGTAGAACAATATACACATAACAGGTTTTTCAGGTTACTTTAAACATGTCCTTCCATGATGTTGTTTAGCCCTCAGGTCTTAATCTGGCTCCAAGATTCCAATATAGGCACCTCTAAACTGTGAGCTGAGAGTTCGAGTTATTTCTTTGCATTGATTTATTGCCCTGGAGGGTATAATTAGTGGTATAGGTGTGATACAATCTCAGCTAGCACTCATTCTGTATTTATTTGGATGACAAAGTTACTGCTTCAGGAGTTTAGCTTAAATGATATACACTCGGTACATCCCAATGATCCATACAGGGTAACCTGTCACAATATGTGGTAACTCACATTGTTATGTGCGAATTCAAAATGAAAGGGACACTGTACTAGTCACTATAACCATTTCATCTCATTGAATTAGTTATAGTGCCTGGAATCCAGTGGGACTGTCCCTCCATGCAGTGTTAAACCATTTTCGAGCAGTTTAAAGGACCACTATAGGCACCCAGACCACTTCAGCTCAATGAAGTGGTCTGGGTGCCAGGTCCCTCTAGTTTTAACCCTGCAGCTGAAAACATAGCAGTTTCAGAGAAACTGCTATGTTTCACTGAGGGTTAATCCAGCCTCTAGTGGGGCTTCCGCGAAAATAACAGTGAGAAAACGATGGACGTCCATGGGAAAGCATTGAGTAATGCTTTCCTATGGGCGGTTTGAATGCGAGCACATTCAGATCTGACGTCAGGAGGGGGTGAAGAGGTCACCAGCGCCGAGGGAACCCGGCACTGAAGAAAGGTAAGTGGCAGGGGGGCCCTGAGCGTGTTGGGACCTAATGACCCTATAGTGCCAGGAAAACAAGTTTGTTTTCCTGGCACTATAGTGCTACTTTAACACTAAATGGGGGTCACTGACCCTGAGGGTGGGGGGGACCTAATGACCCTATAGTGCCAGGAAAACAAGTTTGTTTTCCTGGCATTATAGTGCTCCTTTAACACTAAATGGGGGTCATTGGCTTCCATTGACTCCATCCCCACTGGAGGTATGGCTAAGGCACATACTTCCTTCTAGCCATACTATTCATACCTGATTGTGTGACTGTCATAGGCTGACAGCGATCAGGTGACACTCTCAGCCAATCACAGATGCCCATTGTTGCTCAAGCTAATGCTTCCTTATTAGCCTGAGCAGCACAGAGGGATGGGCTGGGAACTCTCATAGACCATTAAAAATGGTTTAACACTGGGTAGAAAATAATATTAAAGAGGCATCTTTAACCCCTTAATGACCGATGACGGTTCAGGACCATCATCGGTAGCATACAGTTAAGGACCGGTGACGGTCCTGAACCGTCATAACGTTCACATGTACTTATCTGATCGCCGTCGTTCCCCCGGCAATCGGTTGTGCTCCCGGTGTGAGGAGACTGCCTGCAGCCCAGATAGTCTCCCCATGGCGAATTAAGACCCCTGGGGCCATGTGATCGCTCAACAGATTGATCGCATGGTCACAATAGGTGTCCTAGTGTCTGCCTGGAAGTCTCCCTGCAAGTGAAAAAAAAAAAAAGGTTAATGTTAATAAAAATTTAGAATTATATATGTGTATATAAATATCATATATAGACCTTTAGGTCTATATATCATATATATAATGTCATACTAAGTGTATTTTTATATTAATGTATACGTATATTAATATAAAAATACACTTATAATTAAATTACACATGTATATATATAATATATAACTATATAAAAAGGTAAATATAAATAAAAATAATACCAAATATAAATATGTCCATATACAAAATTACGTAAATAATTATATAAATATACACGTAGACTTCAAATATATAAATATGCATATATATTTAAACTCTACGTGCGTATTTTTGTAATATTTTTACATAATTAAGTCATTTTATTGATTGCCATTTGAGGGACCTGCCTGACAACCCAGGCTGAAAGTCCAGAGAATTTAATTTGCTAGCACTGTATTTTACCCTGTAACTTTCTATGACACCCTAAAACCTCTACATGGGGGGTACTGTTTTACTCGGGAGACTTCGCTGAACACAAATATTAGTGATTCAAAACAGTAAAACATATCATAGCGATGATATTGTCAGTGAAAGTGACTTTTTTTAATTGCATTTTTCACACACAAACAGCACTTTTACTGATGATATAATTGTTGTGATACGTTTTACTGTTTTGAAACACTAATATTTGTGTTCAGCAAAGTCTCCCGAGTATAACAGTACCCCCCATGTACAGGTTTTATAGCATTGTTGAAAGTTACAAGGTCAAATATAAGGGTCAAATATTTTTACATTGAAAATTGCCAGGTTGGTTACGTTGCCTTTGAGATCATATGGTATGAGAATGGCCCAGGAATGAGAATTACCCCCCATGATGGCATACCATTTGCAAAAGAAGACAATCCAAAGAATTGCAAGTGGGGTATGTCCAGTCTTTTTTAGTAGCCACTTAGTCACAAACACTGGCCAAAATTAGCATTCAATTTAGTTTTTTTACTTTTTTCACACAGACAAATATGAGCGTTAACTTTGGCCAGTGTTTGTTACTAAGTGGCTACTAAAAAAGACTGGACATACCCCATATTGAATACCCTGGGTTGTCTACGTTAAAAAAAATATATACAGGTGGGGTGTGATTCAGAGATTTATGACAGATAACAGTGTTACAAAGTCACTATTGATACATTTTAAAAATGTATATTTTGAAAAAGCAATTTCCTATTTGTACTTATAGCCCTATGTGACGGTTACCCCTATGGAGTAGGGTATCTACCGTCTGGGCGTCCTCCTTCCCAGTACTGGAGACCACGGCAGAGCTCCAACTCAAGGTCCTGTAAAGTGGGTAGAGCGGGGCTCCCTCCTCCAGGAGGGTATAGCTGGGACTCTCCTTCCAGAAGGTGTAGCAGGGTAGCTGGAGAGAGCTCTTATGAGAGCTAGTAGTGATATAGCTGGCAAGCAGGCTTCTCCATAAGCCAGAGGAACAGGGCAGTTTGGCACATGGAAAGCCAGAGGCAAATGGCAGTTTGTCACACTGGTTTTAAAATAGCAGATTCTTTCCCAGCAGAGTTAAAGGGCCAGACATTTTTTTAACATCCAAGATGCAGAAATTGAGATTTTAACAAGTTAAGCACTCCAGGGGCCATAGTCCCAGGGTAACCAGAGTCTAGGAGTGTGTTCTTGGTTGGAATACAATGATAGTACTGTGATCCACACCATAACCACTGTGAGAAAAATTACCATAACTACAACAAGCAATGAGGGATTTTGTTACACCCTATAACTTGCAAAAAAAAAGCCAAAAAGTACATAAACACTGGGTGGTTTTAAACTCAGGACAAGATTTTGAATCTATTTAGCAGTTTTTTTCATTAGCTTTCGTAGGTAAGTAAAATATTTTTCAAGCAAAAGTAAAAAACATGTTTTTAATTTTTCACCATATTTCATTTTATTTTTTTAAAGTAAATTATGACATGATACAAATAATGGTATGTAAAGAAAGCCCTATTTGTCCTGAAAAAAAACAATATATAACTTGTATGGGAACAGTAAATGAGAGAGAGGAAAATTACAGCTAAACACAAACACCACAAAAGTGTTAAAAGAGCCCTGCTCCTTAACGTACAACATCACAAAAACAGGCCGGTCCTGAAGGGGTTAAGGACATTAAGGTATTTAGGTTAACTCTCTCTCTCTCTGTCTCTCTCTCTCTATATATATATAAATATATATATATATATATATGACACAGCTACTTTAATAAACATAATTATTTTTACTGGCCTAATAATGCTTTGACTGTTGCTGGCAATTAATTTGGAAGTACTCTTCTATTATTATTTTTTTTATTTAAAAGTAAAAAAGTGAAACGAAAATAATAACTGATTGCCAAACTTTCCACATGTTTTAAAATTGCTAATGGAAACAGATAAAAAAAAAAAAAAAAAGTCTGACCTATCACTTTAATAATATGAACTTTTAGTTAACACAGGCATGCAATGCATACCACTCCATGACTGAATAGAGGAGGAATGCAGCCATTTTCAGTAGTCACAGTGGGTCCAGTTAGTGATTATAAGAGTCTCTAGTTGCAGTCTCAAGAGAAACATTTTGTTTAGACATGCACTGAAAGGCGTGTCAGATGGCAGGATATCAATTTTGTTAGACAAAACTTTAAGCAGCGGAGAGACAACTGCAGATTACTCAAACATACTGCAAGCTTAAGAACATCTATTTTAGTACAGCCATTAGGCGAAAAACATATGAATGCTGAAATCTTACATATTCACATCATATGTCAGTCTGAACCTGCAAGAGTTAAAGTTGTCTTGATTGTATCTACTAACTCTTTGTGCTTTTACCCAGCCTCAGACATGGTTGACCAACTGTCAGAGGAACAGATTGCAGAGTTCAAAGAAGCCTTTTCTCTATTTGATAAGGATGGTGATGGCACAGTCACAACAAAGGAGCTTGGCACTGTAATGAGGTCGCTTGGACAAAACCCCACAGAAGCCGAACTACAGGACATGATCAATGAAGTTGATTGTGATGGGAGTGGGACAATCGATTTCCCTGAATTCCTCACTATGATGGCCCGTAAAATGAAAGATACAGATACTGAAGAAGAAATCAGAGAGGCGTTCGCTGTGTTTGATAAGGATGGAAATGGCTTTATAAGTGCGGCAGAACTCCGTCATGTGATGACAAACCTGGGGGAGAAATTAACAGATGAAGAGGTTGATGAGATGATCAGAGAAGCAGACATAGATGGTGACGGTCAAGTTAATTACGAAGAGTTTGTACAAATGATGACATCAAAGTGAACACTATGTCATGCATTGAATATCTTATTAAAGATGTAATGACCGAACACCGAAAGTGGTTCGTTTACAACTGGTGCACGGGTCGCAAATGCTACAGTGATCAGTCTTCTTAGATAAGATAGTATTCTCATTGAGTCCTCTTTTTATCATCTTCCCTTTAATGAATATCGTCTGGAGTAAAGAACTTCACTTAAGCAATAATTGGCTGAACTGATGTTGCTCTACGGCTGCAGAACTGATATATGCATATGTTTGTATGTATTAGTCTATTAATGTTGAAAATATTTGCATATCAATTTGCAGTAATACCTATATTTTGCTGGATGTGTCTGTCTATCTGTCTGTCTGCCTGCTTGTCTGACTGTCTGTCTATACACCTGCCTGCCTGTCTGTCTATATGCCTGCCTGCCTGTATGTCTGTCTGCATGCCTGCCTGTCTGTCCATCTACCTATCTATTTACTAAACCAAGTAATACTATGAAACAATATAAAGCACCATGACTACTGTAACTACACTCTGTATTTACTTGCTATTTTGGTAATGATTTAGTTAGAATAATAATATGGTTTACCTGATGCCCAATAATTGAACACAATTGAATTAGTAAGTTTTGAATTTGTAATTTTTTTTGTGTCTTGGTTTATCATATCCAGGATATCTGAGTTGGGATTACAAAAAGAGTAGAGTGTTAGCCTATGGGGTTATCAGCACCGCCTCTAATTTCCAGAAGCTAACTCTGAAAGTCAAATACTAAATGTGAATGTTATATATTCTGGATATTTGCCATAATGAAATTATATAATAAGTGTGTTAAGCATATAGCAATCCATGAGTTAAATAAAAAGCAAATACTTGGTTTCTACCATATTAGCACCATTGCAAAATAGTGCAAAGACAACATAACATGCATTGATACAAATATTTTTTTTTATCTCATAACTTTAATAAAAGTACCATAGTTTTTGTATGTATTTATGATGAGCTGACTACAGGCTACAGCTGTGTTGCAAAATATAAAAAAAAGACCAAATTACTCTTACTCATATATTTTAGCTTACATTTTAAAACACACTTTCCCTGAATAAACCTGTGTATGTTTATTGTATTTATCTGATCTATTATAGTTTTTATGAAGTCTTACTTCCTACATTAATACATGAATTACTTTAATCTAGTCTAAAAAATGAGTACAGCTATTTGATTTTGTGCTTTTTTTTTTTTATTGAAGTTTAAAACACTGAATAAATTTGAGCTTAAAGTAAATTCAATAGTTGCTACCGTGTCAATGGAATAATTATATATCAACATATCTAAAAAGCGGGGTAAACCTTCCCAATGGTGTCTTCCTTCACATGAGGGAAATATAATATATTAAATAATAATGACAGAATTAAAGATTTTTTACAAATATTTTTTCGGTTATTAGGAAACGTTAAAAAACTAAGATTGCTAAAATAATTTTATCTTAACCATTCTGCTATGTAGGAGCAAATTGTAGTAAAAACATGTAAGATGATTTTGGTAGTAAAGGGTAATTGAAGAGCAGATAAACGTCTTGGAGTGGATGCAGTTCCTGTTGCTCATGCTTTGGCTGAGTTCATCAGATTATCACCCTCACCCAGTAAATGCTGGAGGTGGAGTTACAGCAGCAAAGGGGTTAAACTCCTAGCAAAAGCTGCACATACAGACTCAGGGCACCATGATCACTTAAAATCAGTGAAGTGTTTGTGGTGCTTAGAGTAACCCTCATGGTGTAATTTTAGATGGCCATAGAAAAAAAGTCTACAAAGCATATTGCAATGAATACCTCAAATACATTATTAATTTTTTTTTTGTATTCTGTGTTGAGTGGTACAATCGAGCCATTGTATCCTGTGGTGGAACTAATGTACCTGGTTTTAAGAAAGTTTTTTTAGGTGCCCCTATAGTGCAAGATTGGCCAAAATGTAGATCCCCATCTGTCGTACAATTGCATGATTTTATTAATGACATGGCGGCGAGTATTATACTGCACTCTTACTTTATTTCCCTCAAAAGCAAAGAAATTACTTATGAAGTTAATAGAAAAAAACAAGCAGTAATGATGTGGAATCAATCAATTAATTGATTGTCTTGTGTATATGCCCCCGGCCAAATTAAAGAAGTAGTGCGTGCACGCTCCTAAAGTAATTCACACCAGACACAGGTTTCGGGTTAATGAAAAACTTGAGGAATGTTTATTCTGAGGGGACGGCATGCCCCTTATAAAGCAAAATTACATCATATGCATTGTCAGATATAACATGAAATAATACATCAATAATTGGTTAGGTGTTAAGTGGTTCATTTATTGCTCTTCCTACCGGGTGTGATGTCACCGGTATCCTGGAGGTCTCCCCCAGATTCCAGCGCCATCTTGTTAGTGAGGGTGTTAGTCAATGTCAAAGAGAGACTCTCTAGCGGCCATTTTAGGTAAATCACATATAAAGTTGAATAATGCTGATTGTAAGTATGCTGAGTAAATAGGCATTTTACTAACATAAATTGAGTTAATAATTTTGTCCACAACAGTCCCCCCTTAAAATGACTATTTACTAAAGAGACAACTACTAACTGACCCTAATAATGTCCCTACTTGGCTGCCTCACATCTGTCTGAACAGCCCTCGAACGCTTCACTGCATGAGTATCCCGTAGTGGCTGACCCACTATATCTCCCGCGTCAGACTTCTGCTGTGGAGACAGATGCTGTCCCTATAAAGAAGTAGTTGTCCTTTTGAGGTGGTGGGACTGAAGAGGTGTATGTGGGGTATCGGAGTCCATGTCGTCGATATCTTGATGTAGGAATGTAGGTGTGGTATGGTCAATGGTCTGACCTACAGTCTTCTGTAAGTATTTCTGCACACAGGGCATTACACAGCAAGTCAGGAAGAGAAAGAGAATTACCACAGTAAGAACCGCCATACCTACTTGAAGGAGAGTTTTCTGCCATCCACTCATCCAACCAAACCATCTGTCCCATGAATTGGGGACTCCCGTGTTCTTTGTTAATTCATTAGAGACTTTCTAATTTCTCTATGGCCATAGTTACCTTACCATTGGGGCCTGTATTGTCTGGGATGAAGGTACAGCATGTCATAGTATCGGAAGTATTTTACACACGCCCCCCCTTCTCTGCTAGTATCATGTCTAAGGCCATTCAATTCTGAAATGTCATTTGGGAGGTAGTCTGTAACTGTTCTGCCAAGCCCTGGAGGGCATCTCTTGTGTAATTGACAAAGCATTGCTTATTATAGTAAATATAATTGATCCAATTGACATTCTTGTTAGTGGGATCAAGGAATCGAATTCTGCCACAACCTCTTCTCTGGTCTTGAACTCGTTTGGTACCCCCCTTGGTACACCTATGGCATCGATGTATATATGTGGGTTGAAACTACCTCGAACAGGGGTTTCTCTCTTTACCCTAAAATATGTGTGTGGCGAATCAAGTGGGCCTTGGTGGTTATCAGAAATTATATGTATGGGCATGATAGCTTTGGTCAGAGTGCATTCACCCCACCACAGGCCAGTCATTTTAGATCTGAGCTGCACATCACCACATGATTTACTAATATGGCAGTGGGAGGTTCTCGATAGGTAGTACAGCAACCAGAAGGGAATTTACCCACAAATTTTCCTGTGGCTCCATGTATTTTGTAGCAGGTGTAGTTACCTAGGTACACGGTGATCCCATCAGGTGGCTTGATATACCCTTGGGTTATTGGGTATACCTTTTTCCATGATTCACACACAGATGAGTTTGTTGGTGACTGCGCATAGAGACTTAGGAAACATATTTCAACATCTGAAGGTAGACTGAAGGGCACTGTACCCAGATGGGGTCTGGCCCCTCCACAAACAAAACAGTAAGTCTTATTGTGTGAATTAGCATTATACCTCATCCACTCAAGCCATAGATTAGTATCTGAAAACCCGGTCTCCACAGCCATAGTGTCTTGAAACGTAGGATTAGCAATGGCTACCATGTCTTTAAGGGTTTTTAATGTGTGGTTTTAGAGGGTTAATCGTCATGTGCGTAGAGTCTACCCAGTCAGGTGACGTAAGCATGTCTTGTAAATAGAAGGTCCCCAACTTGTTGTATGAGCCACCCCCTTTCCAATACATTTCCATTACGTACTCCCCAGCGTCCCCTGGGCTGGGATGTTCTATGTTTAAGATGAGTTTCATTGGGGTAGACCCTGTTTGCTTACATAAGGTCATTCTGTGTAATAAGGGTTTGCCATGTCTGTCCACCCTATCCAAGGCACTTTGTGGTCTGTAGCCCCATGGTCGGCCTATGTTCCAACCTGCTACTTTCCAGGTACTACAGTGATGTCCCCAATGGTCACCTGTCACACAAATGTATGGGTCCTTTCTTTGGGGTATGTCTTTGTATATTACTGAGTGTTGTGACTGTGGGAAGGTACAAGGAACAATATCACAGTTATCAAAGGTAAAAGTAGCTACATGTGTGTTTGAAGAGTTATACCAGAATGTGTAAACATGATTATCTTTGGTAATAGCGACTTGTTGAGCCTTTAATAGGCCTAGCAGCAGAAATAGTCACAGGAAGCTCATAGTTTATCGGGATCTGCTTCCTCTGGATCAGGAACTTTCTTGCAGTGCGAGGCGTGTATCCAGGTATTCTTCCCAGCCAATTTTACCGAGGTAGATGTGGTCAATAGGACTTGGAATGGACCATCGAACCTTGGCTCAAGAGTGTGCTTTCTCAGGAATTTCTTGACCATAACCCAGTCACCAGGAAGGAGTTTATGTGTGCCTGTATTTGATTCTGGATCTGGAATAGAAGAAAACACCTGTGAATGGATTTTGGTCAAAGCATGAGAGAGTGCAGTTATATAATCTACCATTGCATCTGACTGAATTTGGAGTTGTTAAGGAAAGTAACAGCCTAACCTGGGTGCTGTACCAAATAAAATCTCGTAGGGGGATAAGCTAAATCTCCCTCTTGGAGTGTA